AAATTCGTTCTCTCCAGAGGGTTGAAAAAGATTTCCGATAACGGAAAAGCACCATGAACTCATCAAAGTCTTAGAAGCAGCACTCGAAATCTATACTAAGGCCTGGAGGCATACAGTACGTACCTCTAGGCCCTGTCCTAAATTACCGATCAGCTGACGTTCATTGATAGAAGCGACCACGTTCAGGAGACCAACTATAAGAAAGAAAAGGTGATAACTTATGATAGTGTGGAATACCGAAATGACCGACTAGAACTTTCGAATGAGCAAAACGATGAGGATTGTCGAAACGAAAAACAAGCTTATGGAGTTACCGTCAAATGCCTTTAGTCCAAACGTTTCATCTCGGGTGAACTCCCAAGTATCGCTTTCTTTTAACTCTGTTCGATCAATTATATAGCACGAGCAATACTTGTTTTTCTGAAAATGGCCTAAATGACCTCAAGAGATTAAGGACTAAGAGTGAAAACAAAAAACAAACTTTCACTTCAATAACTATTTCAAAGACTACTTACGGATTCATGATGAGCCGAAGTAGCTAACACAATCGCTACGTTAGCATTATTGACCCCGATGCAACGCTGATTCTTTAACCTCATTAAGGTTTTCGTGCGACCAGTCCCAGAGATCTCAGAGTGCGAGTCGATTCTGGAAATGTTAAATAACCACTTAAACTCACAAACGAGCGGTTCTGTATGGGACATTTCTGTAAGCATATATCTAGGAATGTTGAGCGATATGCAAAATTTCGAATCCAGGCGGGAGCTGAACCCGTGTTCTATCTATCCCAGACCATGCTATCACTACGCTACCGAAACCATTGCTAAACTACCAATTTTATTTTCGACATGAGGCATCGAAGCTGCCAGCAACCGACCGTCAACAGTTTCAATCTGATAAGCACTTATCGGTACCGAACCCAGTTAAGCTAACAATTATAGAATCAATGGTTTTCGTTATTCAATAAAAGTATGACCGTACACATTGACATTCGGTGAAGAATAAATCTCTAACATAGAGAAACTGTAATAAACCGAATAAACGTTAATAGATCAATTCTAAGTTTACCCTTTGTCGTCAATAACAGCGATGATTGGGCGACATTTTCCACTGACGATCAAAGGGAAATACTTCTCCTTGATTTCATCAGATCCGAACAATAATAGAGCATTAACGACAGAGCTTAGCACTGCGACGTTCGCATGAATATTCCAATCAATACTCAGATTCTGTAAACGTTCTCCATCATTATGTTTCAAACGGAACGTACATTAAGTTAGTGGTTAAGAATCGAAAAATAAGGATCGAGTAAAAGTCGTCTCTATCCGGAGATTGCTAACCTCAAATAATTTCATTTGATCCTTGTAGCCTAATCCTAGGCCACCATAAGCACTAGGTACTAGAGCAGAATACACGGTACAATCATTAAGAGCGCCTCGAACCCCATCCGGTAATGAGCCATGTTTTTCCAAGTCCGCTCGGTCTGCTGAAATATTGTCTAATTGATCTTAAATAAATATAGATTTGCAGGTGTGCGCACCAAACGTCTCAAAGTCTCCAAAAATAAATTCCTTGAAAAACACATATTAAAAGTGTACACGTCCACTAACCACTGTGATCAAAGTGGACAAAATTGTTCCCATTCAAACCCCTTTTAAAACCCCGCAAAGCTATCGAATAAATATTACGTTATTATATAAGTTCTGGCAATAAAGCAGTAGACACAAAACATTTCAACCGAAAGCAATTAAAAGTGCATTTTGGTATCGTTCAACTGCCATCTTTTTGTGAACATTTTGGTATACAACTTGCTTATACTTGCTCTGAGATGGAGCTGTCCTTGGAACAGATTCACTTGGTGCTCATACACGAATGACACACAGGGGAATGCTAGTAAAATCGGCGCGCAAAATTGATGGAGCTCGGGGCGATGATGCGGTTGCAGAAAGGACGGCTACGTAGTGGTTTTCAAAGTTCAAAGCTGTAGAGAACAGTCTGGAAGATCAGTCACGCTCGGGTCGTCCCCAGGAAGCTCCATTAATCTTGCGCGCCGCTTCACCAGCACTTTCCCCTGCGCGTCATTCGTGCATGAGTAGCAAGCGAACTTATTCGTACGACAGCGTCTTAAAGAAAGTATAGTCATGTTGTACACCAAAATATTCGCAAGGAAATGCACAACTATACGATGTTAGAATCATGCAATTTTAATCACTTATGGATGAGTTTCATGTTTACTGTTTCAATGCCAAAACTTCTGGAACGACTTGATAAAAAAGGTACCAAAAAAACCGTCAGGTCAACAGCGAGAAAGATTATAACTGGAATAACGCATACGGTCAATGTACCCTCTGCCCAAGTACGCATAGAAATCAATCCATAAGGTAGCCATTGTATTACTAAAGTCCTAAAAATTACTTGGAACCACAGACATTCACAGTGCTCAGACGTGATCGAATGCCGCTCTAAAGTAGCATATTGCATCAAAAATGGCAATCGATGGAACTCGTGTCTTCAGATTACAACTAGACAAAGCAAGAGAAAAGAAAAAAAAGACATCTAGCTAACTCACTGGTGAGCTCCAACGATTTTCTCAAGACGTCAGTGAATCCTTGAATAGTTCTCACATCATCAGTGTCCGCATATTCTGGATAAATCATAAAATCCTAGAAATGTGATTATGCGAAGCATGGTGAAGAAGGTACTGCCATTACATTTTTTGAATTGTAAACAAGACAACAGTTTCTTTTATGGATTAACTAACACCACGAGGTTTGTACAGATTTATTCGGCTAACGTTTCGACGTCCTTGTCTTCTTCAGACCTGATGATTCGAGTCGAATGTTCACAGTTATTCATCCTCGTTATGGTCTTCGTCTTCATCGTGGTCCGGTCAAATCTTTTTCGGTGAGAACCTTTTTTTCTCCATCAAAAAATTCGACTCAATAGAAGACAAAATTAAAAAGATCCATAACGTGAGGACGAACGACTGTGGACAGTGGACCCGAATCATCGGTTCTGAAGAAGATGAAGATGTCGAAAATTAGCCACATGAATCTTCATATTTATTTTGTGGTACAGACTAACTCATAGAAGAAACTAATTCAAAATTGATAACGCTGAAGTAGAGCTAAGTCGGGTTTCATGGTGTAAACTTTAACACTAGAAAACACCTCACCTTTTCGAACTTATTCATGGCAAGACCTCTGGAAAGCGAAACTTTCTCTATTGGAAGTTCTGATTTGATCTCATTGACCGCTAGTCTATTTATGTTAACGGCCGTAACTTCGCTTTGACCAGACAAATATACAGCACATCGAGAAAAAGCCCTTTTTCGGAGCGTGTTCATTGTAAAAATTCTCATCTGTAAAGGAGAAATACGTAGAGAAACGTAAGAAGAAAACTTTCCAGAGAACAAGAAAACATTAGAGAAATAACTCCGTCACGATCGTTTCAAATACTAAGGATTTATAATGAGCAATAAAAGAAAAAGTACCGAAGCCATTTAGCGAAGAAGATTAGAGACTACGATAAACCACACACCAACCAGCCGACCATTTATAGTCTAAAAATACTACAAAAGTAGATTATGGTACTTAATGGCTCAAACTGTTCGTGACCGTAGACCCACGGCCTCTGCATCATCGACTGACAACCCTGGACGGTCTGTTCGACCTGCATCTCTAACCCCCTGCGTGTCATTGTTAGACGCAGCACGCTGGGGGGCTAGAGATTCGGCGGTGGATCAGACCGTCTAGAGTTGCCAGTCAGAGATGCGGAGTCTATGGGTCTACGGTCGCGAAAAGGTTGAGCCAAATATTCATTGCTACAAACAATTCGTCAAAGCAAAAAAAAAGATCTAAGCAAAAGATAACGCAAAAATATGAGTACAAATCAAGGTGAGGCTGACAAGCTTGTAGACAACCTAATTTTTTAGGTTCTAAAGAAGACAAACTCCGCTAAAACGCCAGCTGTTCAAGCAAATTTCATTATATCAACAACCTCTGATTTTGACTTGTCAAGAAAGAACTGTAAGGGGTTGCAAAGGTGACAACTGAGGGGTTACTGATGCTCCGTTCGCGGTTGGTCTCACCCCTACCTCCCTGCCTCCCCCCTCCCCCCAGCTATCACTCAACAAACACCCCAACCGGGCCATTCTCAAGATTGAAAGGAGATTTTTCAGAACAATATTCTGCGACGATTATGAAGAAGACGAAATTCTCAAGTAAGCCACGAATGTGAGGAGACGAATCCAATGCCAGACAAATTGAGATCCGCACAATAAAATGTGAAGACGGGTCGCATAGAAACAAATAAGACGAAAATAAATAAATATTAGTGTAGCTAGAAGAACCGAGAGGTAAACAAAGGACCTCAGACGGAAGTTGAACCCGCGTTCCAGCCATACCGGAACCGTACGCTACCTTTACACCATCGAGGCACCGTCTCGTTACTACTCATTCTTCCATGTCTCTATCATAGCTATCAACCAGCAACCTTTCACAGATCTCGTCGGGCAAGCAATGTCGCTTTATGAACTCAGTTAAGCAGACAGCCATCGTGATATTGATGCTCAAGATTTCTTATCGTTTCACTGCTTATCGCAGTGTTGTGGTGTTTCAAATTACTTAAGCGAACTGAAAGGTAAGCAGATTGGTCCCCTGTATGGGTGAAACGCGGGTTCAACTCCCGGCTAAGGTTGAATTTTTGCTTACAATTCAATTCACTTAAATCCATTTGAAACATCATAACACTGCGAAAAAGCAGTACTATGGTGGCGACGTCACGTCTCGTGGGAAAGCAGGCAGACAGCTAAGCACGCATACATAAATAGCAGATGCCGCCTGCCTGGACCGCCGCGCAGGCGACGGCGCGACGCCGCCTCCTTATCGAGGTAGTCCTTAAAGGGTTAAAAGTTAATAGCAAAGGGACACCTCACACAAATGAATGATATAAGCACAGATACAAAAAATTAGTAAGATAATGAGTGGTAAGTAAGCGGTGCTCTCAGTGGTGTAGTGGTAGTACGCTCCTCCGGTGTGGATGAAACGTGGGTTCAACTCCCGTCTGAGGTCGAATTTTTGCTTACCACTCAGTTCTCTTAAGAATATAAGAATGAGACCTGAGCATATCAGCCGCCTTACATAGGGCGTTCGCTGTTGACTGCCGTAGAGAGTTGAGGGATGGAACTCGCAGGCACACTCTCCGCGACGAGCATCACAACAACTCGGCCACGACGCTCCAGTGTCAACATTGCAGCATAAGTATTTGCTGGATTTGTCAACAGCTTACAACTCTTCGCACCACGGTTCGTCGGGTGTAAGAAGTTGGTAGTCGATTCCTCTTTATAGGGAGACATCCCCGAGGAACTGAGTGAACCAAAAGGCACCTTACAACTGGCGAGGCTGTAAGTTTGAAACGCCTGTCCTGCACTGTATGCGCCCATAACAGACCACCTGAAAGGCTCGAATTAAAAAAAAAGGACACAGCTCTCGGCGCTGATCGATCCCTGAGGGATGCGCCATGCATTCATCTTCAACTTTCATCTTCGTTTGAGGTGACTGAATGCATATCTGGCATTTACAATGACTCGCGGTGGCCTCCCGCTGAACCAAGTCAGTGCTGCATGTCCTCCCAACAAGTCTGAGACTAGTCTGGTACCGATTCACCGACTACGGAGAAATGGATGGCTGGTGAGCCATGGCGCGGGATCGAACCACTGACCTCGTGTGCGACGCAGAGCACCTCTAACCACTGCGCCACGTGCGCTCAGGCTCGAAATACATTGTGAACTTATATTTTATACGGTACATCTATAATAGAAGAGAGATCAAGTAGAATAATACAAGCTTAACGACAATAAGATGAGAGCAAACATAAAAACACTAAGTAAACAAGTAAATAAACAATTAAGTAAACAATAACAGTAAATAAAAGATTTGAACGAATTTCCTGCGACGTTAGTACGATTGAATGCAAGCGCGCGTACATTGTTGCGTGACGTGTCGTTGGATTTTTTGCCGCGGTGCTTGCCGTCGACTTCCGTTGGGAAACCCGTTTTTTTTTCTTATCAGTGGAGTTGTTATTGCCATCCTATCTGCTTTGCTGGTCCTTTGTACTTCTTCCGTCGGGTCTGAGCGGCTCGACTCTTTACTTCCGATCGATCGATCGATGGAATCGATCGATAGCTGCCTTCTTTCTTTCTCTTCCTTCTCATCGCAATCAGCTACGTGTTCTCTTCGACTATCTATTTTTCTTAAAAATCGATTTTCTTCAAAGCTCGGCTTTGCCAATCAATAATTCCGTCTCTTTTCTGGATCGATTGATATCTGGGTAGTCAGGCGGAACTCGGTAAAGTTGGGTTAAATGCCCATTTGAGATTGCCCAACTAAACCCGTTAAAGGCTGGTTGCTGACAGCTTCCATAGGACATATCGAATAAGGAGTGATAGCAGAGCGCTGGCCTCGCTGGTGTGGTGGTAGCACGCGCTTCGGAAATGCGAGTTCAATTCGCGACTAGGTTAGTTTTTTTGCAGAACGCTCAATACTCTCAGATATACACTATTTGGTAACGGTTGGACGCGTTTCGTTCTCTTCAGAGCCGCAAATTCAAGTTGATTGCCCACAGTCGTTCGTCTTGTCGATGTGGATCTTTGCCGGGGTTGTCGTTAGAGTCAAGGTCTCTTCGGGTGGAGCAGCGTTCGAATGGACAGCTTCACTCGGTGACGACGAGTCCTTAGGTACAGGACGCTTGCTGGCTGTTTCCTGCGGGTAATTTATCTATCAACCCCTTGCTATCAGCTGAGTCATAAATGGAAGGGTTATCTGTGGAGGGCACCGTAGCCGAGTGGTTGTGATGCTCGTCGCGGTGCGCGCGGGGCTGAATTCCACCCCCACCTCTCCGGCGGTCAGCAATGGCTCCATATGGGACAGGGCCACAGTCAGGCTATCACCAAGTCTTCAAGCAGACTCTCTCAATCAGTGTCCAACGGCGTTCAAGAAGAGTAAAGACGAAATGAATCCTAGAAGTACTTGGATACACACAGCGAAAAGAAAACCGCTGTGAAGACGGACTAATAAAGTTTGTAAGAAAAAAAATGTAAGAGTATCTTTTAATTGACCATTCGGAGGCCTAGATCAACCCCTTCGGGACCGTGGCCTCTGCATCTCTTGGCAACTCAACGGTCTGCTCCACCTCCTCTCTATCTCTAAGCCCCAGCGTGCCATTGTTAGACGCAGCAGGGTGCCCATTGTTTTACGCAAAAACCTGCCATTGTTAGACGGAACAGCCATTGTTAGACTCAGCGCTTTTACTAGCTATTTCTCCTCAGCACCATTTGTGCATGAGTAGCTCGGATTTGTCCCAAGAAAGCTCCATGCTGAAACATAGGCAAGTTGTATACCAAAATGTTCGCGAGAAAATGCTCAGTAGAACGATACCAAAATCATGCAGTTTTATTACTTGTGGATAATTAATCTGGTGTTTATTACTGTAGTGCTACTGAAACTTATGAAACGGCCGGCTTAATATCCTCTTCGTATCAGCTGAATCAAAAGAGAAACTATCACTAACATTTTTTTCAAGAATTCTTTGATCGTAGACGGTTTCGACGTCTTGCCATAGTTGTGGCATGAGAGATTTCCAAGTTGTGTTGGCATTTGAATCAACCGACTTGAGATTTCAAAATTCTCTCACTTTTTCAGTAGTCCCTTTTGTCATTAAGCCAACATCGATAAATTGATCGGAATGTCTTGTGGCTTCTGCTCCTTCAATATGCCTGGTAATTATTTTTGAGCCACGCATGTCAGTGGTCTGTCAATGAGGGCTGACGTATAGAGCCCGATACACGTGTTTCGATCTTGCGATCTCGTCAGTCGGGCAGTTACCCTTTCTCGTTTTTTGCTAATCTCTGCGGAAGCTCAAGTCCCCACACTAAGAGTTAACGACGACGAACGTTTTACACTCTATGTCCAGTGAAAACTCACTAAACACAGAGTGTTGTACACTCGATTACTCGTGGCTAGTATATTCAATAAATCATAACATTTGTTTCGAGTGTTTTCTTAAGACCACAGCTCAAATTTCAATATGCCTTGCAATCATTTTTTGAGCCACGCATGTCAGTGGTCTGTCAAAGAGGGCTGACTCATAGAGCCCGATACATGTGTTTCGATCTTGCGGTCTCGTCAGTCGGGCTACAAAGAGGGCTGACTCATAGAGCCCGATACATGTGTTTCGATCTTGCGGTCTCGTCAGTCGGGCTATCACCCTTTCTCGTGTTTTGTCAATCCTGTGTGGGTGCCAGTCCCCACACTAAAAGTTAGCGACGACGAAGTGGCTTTTCTTCAGTTTGATGGTCCAACATCAGATTTACAGCTATTTTTGAACACAGCTTTTCTTTCACATCGGCATTATCAGTCAATCAATCATAGTTTCTTTGCTGATTAAGCCAGCAACACAAAAAGTTGGTAAAAATAAATCGGTTCTTCGTAATTATAAGGAATCAAATGAAAATCGACCTCATTCGCTGTAGAGGAACTTTTCATAAAAGCGTTAGCAACCGCTCGAAAGCTGAGATTTCAGGCTCCATTGCCACATCACTGGTTTTCTAAAAAGTTTTTTTTCTGACGTTGCTACAAAAAGAGAATTCTTGCGTTGTCGACGCGCGTATATCTCACCGGACAGAGTTCTTTCTCTGGACTTTTAGTAATCATACAATAGCGTAATCGTCTTTGATTCGTGTAGCAACGTCAAAAAGAGAGGGTATTTTGAAAAACCGACAACGTGGGGTTGTGGCCTGACGTCTTAGCTTTCCAATGGCTACTTACGCTCCTATGAAAAGTTCCTCTCCAGCGTATGAGGTCGGTTACTTCATTTGTTCCCTTATAATCAGATAGAACCAATAAATCTATTCAATTGACGCGTTTCGACGTCTACATCTTCTCGAGAGCCGGTGATTCGAGTCGATAGGGGACGACAGTCGTTCGTTTTCGTGATGATGGGCTCCCGTAGTCCTATTGAGTCGACTCTACTTGACTAGGGCACAGCCCGAAGTTTTTGTCTTCAGACTAAAACCCACATTGGGAGCAATAACGAGTGGGAGCTATCGCTTTGAATCAGTCGACTCTGAAGACAGGGAAGACGTCAAAGTTTTAACCGATTGATAATACAATGGCTTCATGTCAGCCTGAACATTCAAAGGAATCTGTTGATTATTCACGAAGAGCGCGGGGCGGAAGTCGGTGTAGTAAATTATTTATTGTTTTTATTAGTAGCTGTTCACCGTTTCGCTTGGGTCTTGTGTAGTGAGTAAACGAATCACTCGACAACAGAGTCATTGGAACGCCATTTATGGTGAGTCTTGAAAGAGTATTTTTGTGTCTTTAGAAGGGATTCCTAGCCTTCTTATAATTGAAATCAAGTTTGAATTCTCTCAGCTTCGGAGGCTTCATTAATCTCTTCAAATACTTTGTTTTACATGTCACGTACCACGATTCCTGTCGTATCTCAGCATTTCTTGCATCCTATTCGTCTCCTCGCATTTGTCTACCACAGAGGCCCTCGAACATTTCACGTATTCCTTTAGCTGCTGCTTGAGGAATTCCTTCTCTTCTTTGGGAATGTCGATTAGCGGTGGTCGAGGCGATTCTCTTTCTTATCTTGGAAATAGCCGAGCTAAAACGTTTTTGATTGATTGCATGAGATTGATGGGAGAAGGGATCGAACGGGCGCCTTGCTTATCACTTTGTTTCCTGATAAATTGCATCATTAGACGCTGTGTTACTCAGCTTTTCACCTCCATTACCAGTCGTGAAAGGTAAAATGTCCAGCGTTGTTGACTTCAATCTATCACCCTACAGGTGATTGAATGCGTATTTGGCTTAGGCAGTGACTTGTTGGCCAAGCCGTGTTGGTTAACTGAGCCAAAGCGTTAACGTAGGCATGGCGAATAACTCACGCTTGGGTTATAGCTGTCTGTGGTAATAACAGCAACATAGTATAAACAAGCTGGTGATATGCAGTTTAGCGAATCGATACGGAATTGGACAAATAACTGGAACACTGGAATACACGG